TGTATATGGACACACAGAGAGGTTAAATTGTTTGCCTAAGGCAGTGGTTCCCAAACTGGGGTTCGCAAACCCCTGGGGGTTTGTAGAACGTTACAGGGGTTCGCCAGAAAAATTTCACTAATGGCGGCCAGAGGACCCTGGGCATTGGAGGCAGCAGGTGGGACCTGGTTGCGGGGCTGGCAGTCAGAGCACCAGGGAGAGCGGGACCAGGCAGTTGGGGCTGGCAGCCCGAACCCTGCTCCTGTCAGTGGGTGAGCCAGCAGCTTGAACCCCAGCGCTTCGTGTGGGGCTGGCAGCCTGAGCCCCAGGGAGAGTGGGGCCGGGCAGTGGGGGCAGCCTGAGCCCTGGTGGGCAGTGGGACCTGTAGCCCGAGCTCAGTTGACCGGGGCGGTCAACTGAGTCCAGCAGCAGGAGCTCCCACGGAGTGCGGAGGAAATTTAAACTTAAATCCCTGGAAATATTTATTTTTAGGAGGGGGTTCATAAGATTGCACAATTTAGTGAAAGGGGTTCACGGACTGTTAAAGTTTGGGAACCACTGGCCTAAGGCAATACAGTGAGTCAATGGCAGATCTGAGAATAGAACACAGGAGTTTTGGTTGCTCTGCTCTGCTCTGTTCAGTGGATAAAACTCCATCCCACGCTGAGGATTGAATTTCAATGACTACCTGTAGAGAGTACATTAATTAAATTAAAGTCATCTTGGTTTTTGCCATATGCAGCAAAATTTAGGTCAAGCGACCACCACAATTTTTTACTTGGTGTAGCTAACTCTTCCACCTCTTGGTCATCTGAATAGACCTATAACTTCAACAGGATGACTCTCATCCACAAGATGAGAAGGGATTGGCCTGTTTTGTTTAATTTTGTGTTGTCTTTGTTTTGAGTATTGCACTGTATTTGTTCTTTTTAAAATGGAGACAATTTATATGGGGGGAAAACTGAGCCAAAGACTCACAGCTGGTCAGACCACACAGGATTAATTGTATGTTCCTCAGAAAGGGCAGAGTAAAAGTGGTACTACAGTTAAGTCTTAAGGCTGAACTTAAACAGCTTAGGGGATCTGTTGTAACTGATGTCTAATGTGAATGAGCATGTGTTGTTATGATACATCAACATGAGAAATATTGAACTTAACACGAATTTCTTGACCTTGGCTGAACAAGGCATTTATTTTAGGAGAAAGTGGAGGAGGTTAAATTCACTCTAGATGTTAAGCATGCGTCATTCATCTCTTTCCTCTATATCAGTGGTGTTTTTTAGCAGAATTTGAGACGGTTTTGAGACCTTGCTGTCCCTCTCACATTATAAACGCTTTGAGCATAATCCAATATTTCACTAATCATTTAACCAGAAAAATAATACCTTCCGTTCACATAGTCTGATTTGTTATTCCCCAGGTTTAACAAACTGATTTCACTTCAGTTTCTCTTCTGCCCTCCACCCCCAGCCCTCCTATAGGTCTCCTCTTTGGTACAGACGTCATGTGATACCTGAGGTGGGAGCTGGAGACTTGAGAGCTGTTTTCTTAGACTAAATGTTTGAGGTTACAGGACATGGCCTAGTTTCACATAAGTTTTCAAATTTCAGTGGGACATGCCAAATCCGGAAACTGTCAAATAGTGTATTATTTTTGGAGAGAAAGAATGTGTGTGTGTATGTGTATGTGTGTGAGAGAAGAGAATGACCTTTACACATTTAGCCCTTCCCAAAAGTCTGACTTCCTACCTTCTCTCCCATGAGTCTTGGAAAACTTTAGCAAACAAAGTGAACACTTCTGAAGCAAGAATTCAGCGTAGAAAAGGAGATATTATATTCAGGGGAGCAAAAATGCGTTTATGCCATCATTTGTTTCTTTATATTATATAGAGAAGGCTGGAAGTTTATTTTCTAACGAAATATCAGGAATATAAAGCCTTGTTTACCATATTGCTAGAGGTCTCTTTTGGAGAGAATTGGATTGGGAGTTTCCTCAACCCTTCATCAAAGGAGGCTGTTGAATCTTTAACAAAGGTATCTTTTCTTCTAACTCTTTCTAAGGGATTTGAGATAGTAAAACCAAAAGGGGGAAAAAAGATATTTTTTAAAATAATATGAATAAAAATCATTCCTTTCTCAATTCACCAGGTTTCACATCCTTGGTATCTGTGACATCATAAATATAATAGTTTTCTAGGAAAAATAGGTTTTATTTTAGACCCTCATCCTGCAAAGGGACCTACCTCTTTGAGGCACTTTATGGTCGAAGGCCCCAATTCTGCAAACTGTTTGAGGCAGGGACCTCATGCAATGTATAAGTACTTTGAGGCATCTAGCATAACTCTGAGCATTGTAGCATAATATCCTGACAACTTAAATTTCTTATGTAAAAACAAATGGAAGAAAACACTGCCTCCCCTAACAAACAAACAAACAAAAAAAACCCCTGGAAAGTTTCAAGCTGTAGTTATACATCTCAAGGAAGCAAAAGGGAGAACAAATCCATGTTTTATTCCTTTGCAGGTCACCTTTAAGATAATAAAAGTTGAAGATGAAACAGAAATGCATGTCTCTTGCATAGTAATTCAAATAAAATTGTAAATCCACAGAAGTCTTATCATTAATACTAATATGAAGTATACAGTATATTTATAAAATGAATGGTGTGTAATGTGATCTAGTAATATATCTGTGTGAATTATACAGGCATTTTTCTTGTATCCTTATGGGGATAGATGTACATTTGCAGTTAATTGTGTGTGTGTGTGTGTGTGTGTGTGTATGAATGTATGTATTGATTGGTTGAGGAGTTCAGGGTAGTAAAGTGTATGTGAGCTTTGAAGAATGATGATTTGACATAAAACAATTCAACACTTGGGCACTTGGTTAGAAATGTGACATATTATGCCTAATCCAGCTCCCTTGTCAAAACTCCCATTGATGGCAATGGGAGCAAGGGCTATTTCTTTGAGTATACTGAATAACCAGGCTCACTGCCTTTACTGGCCTGTGTGAGATTGTTTGTTTATTTTCTCTAGGGAGGCGATGGTCTCTCATAAATCGAGCAGGGGACTGGGACTGTCTTCGGTTCCTGACTCTGCCACTGAATCATTGTGTGACCTTGGCAAGTCACTTAAATTCTTTGTACCCATAAAATAGAGCTGATTTTTACCTAATTTTGTAAAGCATCATAAGATCTTTGGATGAAAGGAAATATATAATATTAAAAATATGAGGCAATGTGCTCTGGAAGAATAAGCATACAGTTGTGAGTCAAAATTCTAAATTTAAATCTCAGTCTTGCCATATATGACCTTGGGCAAGTCACTTCACATATTTTCCTCAGTTTTCCCATTTGTAATATGGGCATAATGCTGTTGTAAGACTTAATCAATCAATTAATGTTTTACATCACTTTGAACTTATAAAGCACTATTAACTGCTAAGTATTATTATTAACAATGTGTATTATTGCATAAGGTAGTTTAAATGTAACTGATATTGCTTCTCTTGGAAAAAATGTGCAGAATATTGGAAAAATCCTGTAACACAGAGGTAATAGCAGTATATCACGTAAGGCCAGTTTACTTAGAAACTTGTGAAATGAGATGTCTTTGACATATAGTCCTAAAGTTGACAGATTTATTCAATTTGTTGCCATCTTCCATCATTTCAGAACATTAACATACTTCTCATTTTCAGTCATTACGTGATTCAGATACATTGTCATTTGGAAATACATTTGTGGATCTTTTATTATGTTAAACATACTGGTACCAACATACCTTCTGTAACTTCATTGAAGGCAAAGGACTTTTTGACAGTTCTCAGCATATCCAGTGCTGTGTGTCAGCTTGTTATCCCTTGTCTCCAGTGAGAGGGAGTTTTTTGTGTGGTAGCTGGATGTCAGATCCCTAACACCACCACCTGTTCAGCCATTCAGGCACTCTCCTATGGGCTGTGCAAGCCCTAACTTGGCCTTGCGTGTTAATAATAGGTGCATCCTAATCCTCAACTCCCTTTCTCCTGTGATATCCATCCCCTGACACTGGCTGTTCACAGAGGTTCCAGATCCTCTGCACCCAACAGTGCAGTGTACCCCAGTTTTTCCTTAAACCATTGCTCCCACAGCATTTGTGAGCACTTCTAATAAAACAAAAAAGAAAATAAAGACGTAACTAGACATGAGAGGAAGTGGTGGAAACAACTGCTTATAAAACACAAATGTGGGTCCACACTTATCAAGTTACCTTTCCTATATACTAAGATGGGCTTTCTCCCCAAATTCAGTTTGTTGAACAGCTGACTGATTTCACAGAAATGAGGATCCACACATTCATGAAAGCTCCTTGCTCCCTAATGGGTTTTCTCAGTGAATGGTACAGAATACCTTTCTCTACACTCTATTATACTGAAACAATCTTTTGTCTTTATTCATAGCCAGGGTGCTCTCCTGCCTTCTATAATGTTCCTTTTCACCTGCAAGCATTGTGAGTGTTTGCAATTCTTTGATGGTTTTCCATTGACCGTTCTGGGTTATGGCAAGGATAGACAATAGAACCGCACATTACCTCACCGCTGACTAGGGAGTGGTGACAACTCCTTGCTCAAATGGGCATCCCCAAGACACATTACGTCCTGGTGACTAATTTCTACTCCAAGTCCATAAAGCACACTTTCAGTATCAATACAATATTCCTTAAATATTACCCATATACACATCTTGCAATGATTGAGTCTTGACAAGTTATGAGCTTTCTGTAGGTTCCTTACACCTACACTTACACTACTACTCGTTATGAATAAATATTCTCTACGATGTGTTTGGTGTAGTGCGTTTGTCAGGGCTGAGGTGAGAAATACTTGCAAAGAAAAACAGAGGACATCTTGCCATGGGGTATCTCTGTCATGGACTTACACAGGGGATACATTGGTCTCTTTTCTCTGACATACTGTATTTTGGATGCTTATCCAGCCCTTTTCCTTCATGCGGGAAGTTTATTTTCTTTTGTGAAGTGCTGTATGGAGAACTTCTCATCACTGTTTACTCTTGACTGCTTACAGGTATGTTTCTAACCAGTTAAGTAAGATACATTCTATATAAATTATTTTCCACTAGGAACCTTTGTAAAAATCCACAAATGAGTAATACAGAATAAAAGGAGTCTGGTGAGATTGATTTGCTCAAAAATTGGCTTGCTTTTTTTCAAAACAAATCTATCCATATTTTATTCTTAAAAAAAAAAAGCATTAAATGTCATCAGCCTGAGACTCTTAGATACATCACAGTGAGAGGTTCTTTAAAAATAGTTTAGATAGCAAATCAATGTGTGCAGCTCAGTTCCCATCAACAGTCTTGTAGTAACACATTAGCACGGGTGTATGATGAAAGAAAATTTAAATTATGAAAGAATTTCAGCACCCAAGGGATTATTATAAATAATTCCCTGGAGGCATTGGTATCTGATACTCTTAACGTCCCTTCTCTACCTTAATGATGAGTTTCTCTGGCCGGTCTTGGTGCACTAGCATGACTCGCCTCCCATTCAGTTTTATACATTATAAAACACAATAGAGCTTGCTCCAAACTTTATGAATGTAGCTCAGTCATCGCTGCAGGATAGAGCATGAACAATTGAATGGGAGGTAGTGGTACTATCTAACACAGAGAAGAAACAGCTGCTTGAAGTATTTGGGCAGCCCCTGGAGTAGAGGATGTTAATGCTGTTGTTATTAAAAAGCATTGATACAATGGTAGTGTCCAAAGAGTCCAGCACAGTGTGCTTGGTGCCATAAAAACATGAGACAATTCCTGCCCTGGAGGGCTAATAATCCAAGAGACAAATACGAAAGGTTGATGCTGGGGATTTAACGTACAAACAAATGAATACAGAGAATATGGATGAGTCCTGGGCCTGTTATTTATTTATTTTTATTATCATAGATGTACGTTGTTTACACCACTAACCATGAGTCTGATTTTGTTTTTTGTGGCACCCTCCTAACAGCCTTTCAGATTTGTACTGTGTTGTGTGCATGTGTTCATGCTGCTGTATGCATTGTGTGGATCTGTGTATATACAGGTGTGTATTGTGTGCAATGTATACTGTGTCTCTACATGTAGTGGGTATGTATTTTGCACGTAGGTGTAATACTTATAGTGTATTGGAGGTTCCCCATGAGTTCTTCTGGGAGTTGTTTGGTTTTGATTGCAAACTCTGTGGAGCAGCAGCCAGGTTTTCTGAGTCCGGTACAGAGCTCAGCCCACTGTCAGCTTTAGCAAAGAACAAACCCTGGGCTCCCTCTGCTCTCTGCGGGACATATCCTGAGCCAGCCCCGGACCCTGTCATATAGCTAATGTGGGTGACCCCAACGACCGCCCGGGTGCCAGACGTTCCCTTTCTCCCTAGAGAGGGCGGAACGCGGAGAGAGCCCGGAACGGTTGCCGCGGAATCCGTGTTGCCGCGGGGCGCTATTGGGAACGGACCGGGGGTGTGCGAAGGGAACAGGGTAGTCATGGCCGGTTCCGCGGCTGTCGCTGCCCCGGGGCCCAGCGCCCCCCGGAGGCTGAATGTGAACGTGGGGGTCCTGGGGCACATCGACAGCGGCAAGACAGCGTTGGCCCGGGCGCTCAGCACGACCGGTTCCACCGCCGCCTTCGACCGGGCCCCGCAGAGCCGCGCTCGGGGCATCACCCTGGACCTGGGCTTCTCCTGCCTCCGCACCCCGCTGCCGCCGCACCTGGGCCCCGGCCCTGGCGAGCTCCAGCTCACCCTGGTGGACTGTCCGGGACACGCCTCCCTCATCCGGACCATCATTGGCGGTAAGCGCGGGGGGGGGCGCGACAGGCCCCTGAGCGAGATTGTGACTCTGGAGGGGCGGGGGCTTCTCCCCCGCCCGTGTCAGGGGATCTGCTCTGTAGGGAGAAGTGAATCCTGTGTGTGTGTGTTTGGGGGTCTCGCCTCCACTGTGTACATGTGGGTATCCTTTCCGAGGATGCAGAGAGCGGGTCGGGTGGGGGGAGCTGGAAATGTAAAAAAGTAAAGTTTGTCTTGTGTGCGGTGGGAGGGTTTGAAGAGCTGGGAGTTGCCTCCTGCCAGGGGAGGGAAGGGTTAAAACTACCTAAACAGGTGCCAAATCCTTCTAGTGGAGACATGGTTTATACCAGCAAAATTACGTTTTTGTTGTTATAACTGTCTATACTAGGGCTTTTGCCAGTATAACAATATCGTGAAAAGTTACACCCCTAACCAATGTTACTATGCTAGCAAAAGTTTAGCCCTGCCTTATGTGGAGTCAAAAGAGCTTATTCCTGTAGTGGAAAAGGAATAAGCTATGCTAAAGACAACTTCACACTGATGTAACTTCTCCACGCCAGGATTCATATTGGTATAACTTTCTGTAAAAATTCACACCCCTAGCCAAAATATTTTTATTGATACAAAAACGGCATGTAAACCAGTCAGTTTTGTTTATAGTAATGTGTTTGTTTTTTAAACATTTCTTTATTGATGTGAGAATATTCATGGACATAGTTACAATTTCTCTCTCAAATTTCTTGAACTCTCCCTCATTTAAATTGTCAGAGGTTGGCAGTCCTGCTGCTGAAGTGTTCATAAATAACTTGCTAGAAATTCAGATGCAAAACTCCTACCTAGATTGAGATGTTCTTAACATTTGTCAGACTATAGTGTTAGAAATACTATGTACATTTCAGTTCTTTTAAAATGTTTTCCTTGAAAGCAAATTTGAGGTAAAGGAGACTGACTTATTCCAGCAGCACATTTTAAAATAAACTCACATTGTTTTTTGGGGGATTTTGACTTCAGCTCAGTGTGTGAACTCTGAAGTAAAGGATTTTGAGATCACTGCATCTTCTAACCATTGTAGAACTTCAGTGATGCAAAAGCATATTGAAGAAAACCTGATTTGGAAGTTTGTGGTTGAAATTACTCAAAAGATCCAGGTTTCAGAGTAGCAGTCGTGTAAGTCTGTATCCGCGAAAAGAAAAGGAGTACTTGTTGCACCTTAGAGACTAACCGATTTATTTGAGCATAAGCTTTCGTGAGCTACAGCATCCGATGAAGTGAGCTGTAGCTCACGAAAGCTTATGCTCAAATAAATCGGTTAGTCTCTAAGGTGCCACAAGTACTCCTTTTCTTTTTTCAAAGATCCAGATTATTGTAAACCCAAACATTTATCAGTAAGTGCTGGAGAGAAGTTCTTTTGAGGTTTAGATTAGTGTTAGGTTTATTTTTGCATGTATTGTTTAGCTGTTTCTATATTTTCTTGTATATTGTTGGTCCTTTAATATTTGTAAATATTCGTGTGTTTTTTAATCTCTTGTTTCATGTTACGTAGTTATGCAGCTTAAGTTGATGCTCTTTGAGACACAAAGCTTTTAAAAGAAATTGGCACAGGAACAAAATATTCTGTCCTGAGGAATCACACAATTATGTGGCAAGGTGATGCTAGCATATGAAAAAGGAACCCCCTAAAAACAAACATACACACTTTTAAAAAGTGATTTTAGTGCTCATGAAAGGTGCCAGCCCTGAAGACTGCTATTCTATGGATATAAGGCACAACATGAGCAGCCGTAGTGCTAGCTTATCACACAGTGACCCAGTTAATGATCCTTATTGCTAATCTATAGGGACCTTCTTTAGAGGGGAGATCAGTACATTTCTCATGCCTTTTCTGTCCTTAGTCCCTTTTCAAATTGCCAGACAGAGAACCAGTTAGTGGGGCAGTTTTACGACGTGGTCACCCGTTTCCTGGGAGCTGGATTGGGACCTACCAACTAATTTCATGTAGTCCACTGGAAAAACACTTTTTTGACAGATGTGCTACTTGCAAATGATGCCAGTGATGAGCACAACCATAATACCGACTTGTATGTAAATCATCCTGGATAGATGAATAGAAATTATTTATTGCTTGAGTTCATCAGCAGTAAAACCCTCTGCAGTTCAGTTCAGCTGTTTTGTTATTCTGCAGTTACAGGGGGAGGGCGACTATTGGCTGCATTTAGCCCACAGTTGTGCTTTGTTTCACAGCAAAGGTGCCTGATAATTTACAGAAATACTGATTATTTACTTTATAGGGAACTAAGTTGTTCTTGTGAACAGGACAGTTCTTGTTGAGGTCTCTGTGTAGAAACTTTCGTTTAGGCTTTGCTCTCTGTGCGGAAACTACTAAGATCTGAGAGAGCCAAACTTTCTCTGGAACTGTTATCTCTGGGAGGAATACTTAGGAGGGCACTAGAAAAAAATAGTTTTCATAATCTGTGCAGAGTTTGAAAATCACACTCCCTTACCTATTAATTGATAGCATGGAGTTGTCATTTGTTTCTTTTCTATTGGATTTTAAAAGAAACTGTGATTGTTTGATCCCGACTGTCAATATTGGCCAAATATAACACTTACAATTTCTGTAATCTGACCTGTGCGTAACCCTAGTGGATCTGGGCCCAAATAACACCTGATTTATTTTGTAATCCATGTTTAAAATGGTTCAGTCCATAGGTACCAGTATTGCCAATTCCATCTGTTCAGAAATCAGGCCACCAAATCCTGAGATTTTAAAAACAATACATTTTTGTTTGTTTTTATCTGCCTTTAGTGTTGTGCCTTTAGAGTTCAATCTTTCCATCTTTTCCCTCCAGCCATGGAGCGTAGTGACTTATTTATTTTTTTTTAAATTAAAGCTGAGATTCTCTTGTAAGTGTGGGACTCCATGCTTTAAGTAAAACATTGACTATTGTGAGACTTGTTATAAAATCATGATAGTTGGAAATACTAAGGTACTTTTGTGCGAGTGCTTTATAAAACATCATATACTTCAAAAAATGACCTCACTGTAGGATTAGGTAGGAGGAGAAAAGACCAGTTTAAATGCAAATATCTTTAAATACATCAGACATAGGACAGGTAAATAGATATGGATATTGTTATACCCATTCTACAGACAATAATCTCACATGGAGGTTGCGAAGCTTACTGTTTGTAAACTATGTAGAGATTCCTAGATGAAAGGTGTTATGTGGGCCCAAAATATTATTTGTTTTATTATTTAGTATATTGTATTTGAAAGTTTTCTCTGGGTGGCAGCTCCTCTTTAAAGGGATGATTGAAACAACCCATCCTTTAAAATCATGTTGTATCTTGTTAATTATTTGAAAGGGAGTTTTCATAGCTGAATCCTGTATTCTTGCCTATTCCTCCTGTTATGCAGGGTAGTGTTGACCTTGCAAATACTTTTCATGACAACATAAAAGAAGTGTCACTGGAGATGAAACCTTGGTTTAAATGAATGCAGAATATTTGAGCAGTAACCAAATAAGAAGAAAAATGGAAGATGGAAGTCATATTTCATTCTGTGTGGTTGCATCTTTCTTCTTATAAAGCTTGCCCTTGAGAGCAAAACATATCAAGTTTTAAATCAAAGAATATTTTACCTACATGCTAGGAATAGAAAACGTTAATTCCAGTCATGTTGCATTCTTAAGGTTTTAGCTGGAAGGTTATAGTCAAGGTTGGAATGAAATGGTGGGTATAACTTTTTCCAGTTAGACTTCTTAATTACTTTTTAGTTCTTAATTTCACTTATGCCCCAACAATATCAGTTTGTTCTCAGACCATAGACACCAGCAGTGAAGTGGTAAGGCATTCTGAGTAACTGCATGCTGAGGAATATACCATGGATTTCACTTAGTTTCATTATTCTCCTGTACAGTGCAGCTGCAAGTGTTATAACTTATCTTCCAGTGCCCACTTGTGTGCTAGGGGCCTCACATTATAAATAAGAAATAATCTCTGCACTGAAAAAAAATTACTATCTAATTTCAGACAGTGGTGGAACTAAAAGGCAACAAATACAATAGTTTGAGGATGCTAGGTGAGTTACAGCAATATGGTCATGTTATTACTCTGTGAAGACATGCACGGGATTCAGTATATATTAAAATGCACAGTTTAAATATATATTTTAAAAATGTCTTTGACATACTTCTTGTGGGTGTCATGGTAAAAGTGGAACTTCACATCTACATTACAACACACAGTTATATATGACAGAGAAGGGAGACAAATGATATGCTTGTCAGGGCTCCCCTATGAGCAGTAAAGTCTTAGGCTGCCTTTGAGTTGTTGAGCACAGAATGGCTGCTACAATTACGTGCTCAGTCATTGTACAATCACTGCTTAGCCTTTACTTTTGAAAACAGTACATGAATATGGTTAAAACTGATTTTTGCTTACAATAAGACTGATTTGTATAGTTCCACTTTTTTTTCTGTAGTGGGAAGGTTGCTTGTCATATAACCAAGACCACCACTGCTGTTTGGCCACTTAGTGGTAAAGATGCTTGATAATGGTCTCTTTTTTATTCGTGTAGCACTGGAAAAGCATATAGGGTAATTTGCAGTAGATGAGGGTTACTAAACAAAGAATCAAAGCCCTGAAAAACTTAGTCTTGAGGTGCATTCTTTAGCTTGTATCACAAACAGCAAAAAGCTCATCACAATTACATGACTAAAATTCCATCTCACATAAGTAATTGAGCAATTCTCTGTCATTTTACACATTGTCTGTTTTTCTCTATAATTGCAGCATCTATTTCCTTGCCAGGTTCACATACAGCAAAAGGGCCCTGTGACTGGAATGAGAGGGTAATTCCAGGAGTAATTCACTCTCTCCTTGACCAGCTCATGCTTGTTTTCAATTCTGAGGCTATGCCATTTGACAGACGTGGTGGTGGGATATGGAGTGATTTTTTTAAAGGTTAATACGCAGGTTTAGGCTGTTGAGGGATTTTACTCCA